GTCTAAGGTGAACTGCAGCCCAACCAGTTTAAGGGGCTCGCTCCAGATCACACAGTTTAGTGTCGGATCTGAAATGAGGCCCCAAGATACCTGCCTGTGACCTATAGTGTCTCCCTAGGGATTTAGACCATTCTCCTATTCCAATGCTGCAGGAGTCCCCAGAAAATAATGATTTTAAAAGACCTTATATTTTTTAAAGGGGTGAAGGGTAAGAGAATAGAATATGGAGAGACTGGAAAAAAGTTTCCAAACTCAAAACATAGTATTTTATTTTTTTAATTAAAAATTTTTTTTTAATTTTTTTTGAGATGGAGTCTTGCTTGTTGCCCAGACTGGAGTGCAGTGATGTGATCTCGGCTCACGGCAGCCTCCCCTTGGCTGGGCACATGGCTCACCCCTGTAATCCCAGCACTTTGGGAGGCCGAGTCGGACAGATTATCAGAGACCAGGAGTTTGAGACCAGCCTGGGCAACATGGTGAAACCCCGTCTCTACAGAAAACACAAAAGTTAGCCGAGCGTGGTGGCTGGCGCGTGTCATCCCAGCTACTTCGGAGGCTGAGGCAGGAGAATCACTGAAACCCAGGAGGTGAAGGTCGCGGTGAGCCGAGGTCGCACCCCTGTACTGCATCCTGGGCGACCGAACTAAATTCCCCCTCAATGAAAATAATAATAATAATGATGTTTTCATGATGCTCTATTGATATCTCCGTCATCTTAGTGTATCCAAAGGCTGCTGGCCATCGTCAGGTGTGAACCTTTGGAATAAAGTCGCAGAACCAGAGGAAGCACTCACTCCATCTACTGACTTATGCGCTCACAACTACACAGATAACTGGGGGGCATACTTAATCCCCGTTTTTGAATTGACTGAGGGTCGTCAGAGGCCAGTGATCTCCTACTGCTGTTCATCGTGCTTTCCAGCCGCCTTCACATTCTAAGGCAAGTACAACAGGTGAAAAGAAATTGATAGATCACCAAAGTGTGATATCATATGTATAGGTTCTATCTTATAGAGCAGGTGTGATTTAACAACAACAAAAAAGCTTTCCAGGCCGAATGCGGTGGCTCACACCTGCAGTCCCAGCACTTTGGAGGCCTAGGCAGGAGGATCACTTGAGCCCAGGACCTAGAGACCACCCTGGGCGATATAGTGAGATCCTGTCTCTATTTTTAAAAAAAAAAAAAAAAAGGAAAGAAAGAAAGAAAAGAGAAAAAGAGAAAAAAGTTTTCCAAGCACACCCGAGGACTATAGAAATCACTGTGGTCTAAGCACCTCATTTATAAGCAAAACCATTGATGTTCAGAGAAGAACAGACTTGCCTATGGATATCAAGGTTTTGTCCTGGGATCACACTTTATTCCTTAAAATAATCATCTGTTTTTGAGTTTTCTGATTTTAAAGCTAATTCATTTTTATTCTGGAAAATGAGAAAAATAAGGAACGTTTTGGAGGTTCTAGCAAGGGAGTTAGTGCAGCTGCTCACATATCCTTGACCAAAGACTAATCCGGGGGGGCACAGTGACTCACACCTGTAATCCCAGCACTTTGGGAGGCCAAGGCAGGTGGATCACTTGAGATCAGGAGTTTGCAACCAGCCTGGCCAACATGGCAAAACCCCATCTCTACTAAAAATACAAAATTATCTGGGTGTGGTGGCCTGTGCCTGTAGTCCCAGCTACTTGGGAGGCTGAAGCAGGAGAATTGCTTGAACCGGAGAGGCAGAGGTTACAGTGAGCTGAGATTGCACCACTGCACTCCAGCCTAGGTAACAGAGGGAGACTCTATCTCAAAATAATACTTAATTAATTAATTAATTATAAAAATAAGAATGAGCCTCCTCTGTTGGGTTTGGTCATCCTCTTCGACTGAGCACACAGTTTCAAGAGGGAGAAACTTCCTACTGCTCAGCAGCAAGTGTTTTTGATTACTTAGCCCCAGGTCCCCTCACAAGCATGGACTTGACTTCCCCAAATTTTTCTTTCTTCTTTTATTGCAGACCCCTGGGATTCAGTTTACCATGGCGCTTCTCTCAACAGCAGTCACCAGCAAACCACTGAACCCCTTGGGCTCCTGCTTCCCTTCACCCAAGACCAACTACCATCCTTTCCTTTTTTTTTTTTTGAGGTGGGGTCTCACTCTGACACCCATGCTAGAGTGTAGTGGCACAATCTTGGCTCACTGCGGCCTCTGCCTCCAGGGTTTAAGTGATTCTCCCACCTCAGCCTCCCAAGTAGCTGGGACTACAGGCATGTGCCACCACACCCAGTTAATTTTTGTATTTTTACATTGAGATGGGGTTCCACCAGGTTGGCTAGGCTGACCTTGAACTCTTCACCTCAAGTGAGCCACCAGCCTCGGCCTCCCAAAGTGCTGGGATTATAGACATGAGCCACCACACCTGGCCAGAAATGTGAAAATTTTTTAAAAATTATTTTAATGCCAATTTAAATATAAAACACATAACCTAAGCAGACTCTGTGTCATCTGGTTGACATCCTTATAATCAGCTATTGTGGAGTGGTTCCAGTTTCCAAGGAAACTGCTGTTTATCATCATATCAGTGGCAAATGACTTCCCTAATAACACATTTTAACTTTTAATCCTGCATTTTTTTAACTAGTTCCCATCTCCCTGAGGAGTTAGAAGATATATTTTCAGATGTATTCTAAAAATTAGTTTTTGTCTAAACAAGTTTTATACATAACTCAGCTGAAGAAACCCTGGCCGAAAAGATGAAGCCCAGCCTGCTCAGACTTTTTATCTGCACTGGGGGCACTCAGGGGTCCAGGCCACCTGCTTCTGCTCCACCCTTGGACGTCCCGGCCATGTGCTGCCCCCTACAGGCCTGACCACAACGCCTGCAGTGCCTCAAACATCACGCAGCTTCCTGCCTCTGCACCCACTCCTCTGCCTGGCCAGCACACTGGGTGACCCTATTCTACTCACTCAGACGAGCCAGGACAGCTCCATGACCTTTCTGCAACTCCACTTTTCTCACCTAGAGATAGAGTTAACGACATCTACTTCTCCTGCAGATGTTTAGGAATAAGATACGGTGTGGAGAGCACCTGGTGTGAACTCAGCACATAGCTGTGATAGTGACCGTTCCCCGTTATACTCATCACCCCATCCTTTCCTCACATCTAAGATGGTGCCACAATCCACCGCCTCAGAGAGAAAACAGAAAGGGGAGGTCCCAAACTTCCTGCTCCACCACCTACACCTGCCCCTCCTGATCCCTCTCCTCTGGTTTCAACAAGCAGGTGTTCTTGCTCCTGTCTCAGGCTAATTCTGCACGCACATCAGGGAGCCCCACCCCAGCTTCCCCCAGGCTTCTCTATTTGGTCAATTTATTAATTCATTCATTCAACAAGGATCCATGAGTGCTAATTATGTGCCAGTCACTATCCTAGGTGGTAGAGTCGTAGAAGTGAACAAAACCAAGTTCTCATTCAAAAACAACGTACCTTGTCCTAGGAGGCAGACAGGAACAAACTAACTGATACCTAAGGTGTGCTGGAAGATGGCAAGTGTCCAGGAGAGAAATAAACCAGAGTGAGGAATAGCAGAACTTGCATTTTTTTTTGAAGGGGGCTTGATTTGTGGTTCAGGCTAGAGTGCAGTGGGGCTGTCATAGGTCACTGCGGCCTAATTTTTTACAAAGACAGGGATGTCTCAGCCAGGCGCGGTGGCTCACACCTGTAATCCCAGCACTTTGAGAGGCTGAGGTGGGTGGATCACCTGAGGTCAGGAGTTCAAGACCAGCCTGGTCAACATGGTGAAGTCCCGTCTCTACTAAATATACAAAAATTAGCCAGGCGTGGTGGCGAGTGCCTGTGATCTCAGCTACTCGGTAGTCAGGAGAATCGCTTGAACCCAGGAGGTGGAGGTTGCAGTGAGTCGAGTTCACGCTATTGCACTCCAGCCTGGGCAACAGAACGAGAATGAAACTCTGTCTCAAAAAAAAAAAAAAAAGAAAAGAAATGGTCCAGATGGAGTTGCCACTTACTGAGATGGGGAAACTGAGGGAGAAGCAGGCTGTAGAGGCCGGGGGAGGAGCCAGCACAGAATCCGGAGGTCAGCTTTGGATAGGTTTGGGTTGAGGAGCTTACTAGGGATCCCCGTGGAGATGTGGAGCAGGCAGGTCAGTAATAAATGTACAGTCCAGGCAACGGGTCTGGGCTGGAAACACAAGTTATTCTCTTTGTCCTCTTCAGGTTCGTGTTGTTGCCACTGCCTGTTTCCCTTACCTAATGTGTTAGTGATCTATTGCTGCATAACAAATTACCACAAACTTAGTGGTTTCAAACAGTACACTTTTCCAGACTGACCAACACAGTGAAACTCATCTTTATGAAAAAAAAAAAAAAATTGCCCAGTGGGGTGGCACATCCCCATAATCCCAAGTACTTGGAAGGCTGAGGCACAAGAATCGTTTGAGCCCAGGAGGTGGAGGTGGCAGTGAGCCGAGATTGTGCCATTGCATCCAGCCTGGGCAACAGAGCGAGATCCTGCCTTAAAAATAAATTAATAAGTAAAACAGTATGCTTTTATCACTTCAGTCCAGGCAGAGCCGAGTGGGCTTCTCTGCTCAGAACTTCACAAAGCAAAAGTCAAGGTGCTGGCCAGGCTGTTGCCTCATCTGGAGTCTTGACTGCGGGATAATCCTTTTTCCAGACCACTCAGGTCACTGACAGAATTCATTTCTTTACAGTCGTAGGACTGAGGGACCCAACTCCCTGCAGGCTGGGGCTGGAGGCTGCTCGGAGCTCCTAGAGGTCACCACAGCTCCTTGTCATGTAGCGCTCCTAAAGTGGCTGCTTTCCTCTTCGCAGCCAGCTAGGAAGACAGAGCCTCTAGAGTGGGTCAGTTAGCAAGACAGTCTTACGCGAAATAATGCAGTCATGGAAGGGACAGCCCATCAGCTTTCCCATATTTTATTGGCTAGCAGCAAGCCATAAAAATTGTTTCTGCCAATTAGAATGACTAGCCATCAAATACAGTATACACACTGTTGTACCCGAGTGAGTCAAGGAATGCGCCACACTCTGAGAATGAATTATGAGTCCTTCATTAAGCCGGCGACCAAGAGCGGCTAACGCCCAAAATTCTCCCGGCCCCAAAGAAAAAGATAGGTGGTCTTTTTTACACTAGTTTTAACAGGAAGGGGGGAACTTAGTTGAAACAAAGCTTTCACAAAGGCAGAGTAAGCAAAAAGTTAGAAAGAAAAACTGATACATAAGAAATGAAACAGTGCCAGGTGTGAGGAGTGCAGCTGTCATGGAAGACATACAACTTATAGACAAGGGGGCTTGGGACGCTCACTGCAGCTGCGTTTCCTGGCTCTGCTGACACCACTTAACTCAGCCTCTTATCAGCAAAGGCATTCCTGGGTGCCCAGAGTCAGTCTGACCTTGCTTTATACTATAGTTACATACTTAGTGGGGAGAAGGTTACTAAAATCAAGAAGCTAAGATGGCGTCTGTCCAGCTCAAGAAGCTAACATAAAGCCTTAACAGCTTTGAGTCAGGAAAAGGAGAGTTAGTTGTAGCTGGCAAAAAACAGGGTATCACATTCCCCACTTGTGTGTTTTGGGGAATCAAATCACTGATTGCTCAGTTACAGTGAGAGGGTTATACTGGGGTCTAAGACGTATATGTTTGACAGCTGCTATGCCCCATTTTACAAAATTAATAAACCAATTTAATAGACAGGGCCCAAAAATTAATCCCAACAGGAGGAGGAGAAGAGGTCCTGCTGTTCCAGTCATTAAAGTAGTCGGCCAAGGGTTCCAGTTAAACATGCCCTGGTATCATGGGGTGTTACTTTTTCATTCCTGTTGGTGTCTATCTAAATTTCCTTGAACCTTTTGAAGAGTGTCTCTTATGACTCCAGGCTGGTTAGCATAAAAACAACAGCTTTCCCCCAACGCCGCACACAAACCCCCTCGGGAGAGAAACACCAGGTCCAGGCCGCGGCGGCCTTGGAGGACTGCTTCAGCTAAGGAATCAACCTGGGCATGCAGTATAGTTATGGCTGACTGGACATTCCTCAAATCAGCATCTACTTGTTGGGTTAGGGAATCCAGTCCAGTTTCTCCTCAGACTAGTACTGCTGTGCTGATTGCTGTTGACCCAGCCACACTGAGGCCAGCCAAAAGGCGGACTAGGAGAGGGGCACCTCAGCGCACTCCGGGGTGCAGTTCAGGAGGGGCACTGAGAAGCTGTCCCTCTGTCTGCTGTAGACATAAACCTGAGGAAGTACATGAACTAGCAGGCACAGGAGGGGTCCAGGTTCAGTCCCATTAATGCAGCGGGTGAGGCCTGAGGTGCAAGCCAGCCAAGTGTTATTTGGTGCCTGGTGGGAGACTGAAGTAGTTAGGGAAGTAGGCAGAGACCGATTACAGGTGACCTGGAAAGGGGGAAGCAGATAGGTTGTACCCCTAACTGACTAGGCAGGAGACGTTTCCTGAAACATCCCCTAATGTAACGGAGTGAGGACAGGCACGACACGAAAGAGGACCAGGCTTTAACTTAACCTCAACTCCCAATCCAACATAATATGGAGGTTTGGCCTTCAGGCACAACCAACAGTCTTGGGCCATCTTAGGCTGAGTAATATTAAGGAGGTGATGTACTCCTCCTAAGACGGACATTAAGCTGGGTTGGAGGTGCTGGGGTTGCAGTCGGAGTTGGGGAGCCTGGACTGGCAATGGGGCAGTTGGGCCAGTGGGGCTGACCTTATCTGCGTGTGGGTGGAACATAGGGTCCCCTAAATCAGTTAAAGGACCTGTGGGTTTAGGGGGGCTCCAGGGGATCAAGACCCTCTTCTGAAAGGTAAACGTAGTTCCAAGATCAAACCATCCAATATAGAGTCGCAGTCCCAATGTTATACCGTAGTGCCATTGAACAGAGTTAGGGTTATGAACAGTCATAGTTATGGGATTACAGGCTCCCATGGTACACAGTTCAGGACGAGAGGTTCGGGCTATGGAAAGGATTGGAGACCAGGTCGGCCCTCCCGGGTAAGTAGTCAAAGTTAAGCATGACCAAGAAGGGCAGAAAAACTTATAACTACCCCGGCAGGTAGTGTGAGGGTGGTCTCCAGGACAGAGGTAGAAATCCACTTGTTGGAGTCCCATTTCTGCACCCTCCAAGCTGCCGCATCCACTTTCACTTCCGATGTGTCCAAATCCTGCAGCAAGGTCAACAATTCCCGCTCCTGTCCACAGGGGCAAACTTTGCTGGTCCTCGAGGGAACGGCTGGGCTTTGGGAACAAAACACAAATCGATTGAAAAGGAAACTTCATTGGAGGTACCGTCTTTCCAGGTGATGTTTGCAAGCACTCTGTCCGATGCAAAGGAAGTAAGGAGAAAAGAGTAGGAGGGGGCTGAGGGCTGAATGACCAGGAACAGACAGGAAACATAGACCCAAAGAACTAGTCTGATGGCTGCATCTGACTCAGACGGAGTTTTAAGGGGCCTGGCCCATGCTTGGGGACCCATGTTTCTTGCTGTGTCTCGTACGCCTTCTTGATGCGGGAGTGATGAATCCAGGCAGGAATACTGTCCGCCTTTAGGGCCGTGGGTGTAGTAAGGATGACGGTGTGAAGTCCTTTCCAAGCAGGGACCAGACCCTCCTTCTGGAACTTTTTGACATACACCAGGTCACCTGGACAGAAAGGGTGGCAGGGTCCTGTCAGATCAGGAGCCAGATTAGGGTGTGCCTCCCACACGTGACTGGATAATACCTTAAACCTCTTGGAGAGACTGCAAGTACTGTAACAAGTTAGCCTGGGATATTTCTAACTGGGTACTCCTTAATTTAGGCAAAACAGGTGGGGCCCTCCCATACATAATCTCAAAAGGAGTGAATCCCACCCTGTAAGGAGTGCACCTGACCCTAAGAAGGGCTAAAGGAAGGCGCTTTATCCAATTTTCACCGGTCTCCAGGATTAATTTGGTAAGAGTACTTTTTAAGGTATAATTCATGTGTTCTACTTGTCCAGAGCTCTGGGGCCGGTAGGCACAATGGAGCTTCCACTGAATATTTAATGCCTTGCTGACTGACTGAGCTATGGACGAGGTGAAGGCCGGCCCATTATCAGTGGAATGGCAACAGGCAATCCATAGTGAAGGATAATTACATTGAGTAAGAACTTTATTACCATAGTGGCAGTCTCATTCACAGTGGCAAAAGCCTCCGTCCATCCAGAAAACGTGTCTGCCAACTGCAGGAGGCACTTAAACCCTGCCCGGTGTGGCTTCACTTCAGTGAAGTCAACTTTCCACCTTTCTCCTGGGCTATATCCTAGGAGACGATGGTCCAATCCAGGCTTCACGCCTTGCCTGGCATCACCTGTGCACAGCTGTGCACCGGGAGGCCACTTGCCTAGTTCAGTCCTGGAGATGTGGGATTTTAAATTGGCTTCTCAAAAGTTGGGCCAACTTTGTTTCTCCCAAATGGTTGGAAGAGTGGAGGTGGCTGATCAAAGCTTCTCCAGGGGCCCAGGTCAGGAAGATTCAGGAGTCTGGAAGGATCCACCATCCGTCCTGATTTTTACTGGCTTGCAGATCCGATGCCTGCTTTTCTTCTTCAGAAGAGTACGTTGGGTGGTCAGGTAAATCAGGCTGTGGAAAAGAGTTGGCAGAGCGGAGTTAAAGGAGTAATCGGGAGAACCGCAGCCTCACCGGCGGCACAGTCTGCCTCTGGTTTCCCCTAACAACAGTAGTATTTTTTTTTTTATGTCCTTTGCAATGAATTACAGCCACCTGTAGGGGGAGCCAGACAGCCTCGAGCAGGGTTAAAATCTTTTTTCTCTGACAGTTTTTCCTGCTAAGGTGAGCAGCCCCTCCTCTTGATAGATGGTCCCAGGAACATTTACAGTAGCAAAAGCGTATCTGCTATCAGTGTAGATGTTAATGCGTTTGTCCTTACCCCATCGGAGGGCTTGAGTTAGGGCAATAATTCAGCCTCCTGTGCAGAAGTAGCAGCTGGCAGTGCCTGAGCCCACAGTACTTCAATCTCCGTGACGACAGCTGCACCTCCTTTCCATACCCCCTGCTCAAGGAAACTGCTTCCATCTGTAAATGAGGTGGCATCCACCTTTTTCAAAGGAGTGTCCTGGAGATCAGGCCTACCTGCCTCTGTAATTGCTAGTCATTCCTGGCAGTCATGAATAGGGGTGGCAAAGTCTGGGTCAGGGAGCAGAGTGGCTGGATTTAAACACCTTGTTGGGGAGAAAGTTAAGCAAGGCTAACAGTAAACGCTAATGTTGTAGGATACGTGCATTAGACATCCATTTGCCTGGAGCACCTCGTAGCAGTTTCTACAGCATGTGGTGCTGTAAGGGTTACCTTCCGGCCCAGAGTGAGTTTATCAGCCTTGTGAACTAGGATTGCTGTTGCAGCAACTGCTTGCAGACAACTCGGCCACCTGGAAGCCACATGGTCCAGTTTCTTTGACAAATATGCCACTGGGCGTCGCCATGTCCCCAAGGTTTGAGTGAGTACCCCTTTAGCCACTCCCTGATTGTCATGGATAAACAAGTGAAATGGTTTTGGGATGTTTGGAAGGGATAAAGCAGGGGCCTCAGTCAGTGCCTTTTTTAAGTTTTGGAAGGCCTGCTCTTCCTTGTCAGTTCAAACCAAAAGGCCATTCCCTCCTGTAATGGTGTACACAGGCTTGGCAATTTCTGCAAACCCAGATATCCACAGGAGATGATATCCCACAGCCCCCAAGAATTCACGTGCCGGTTTCTTGGTGGTGGGGGTGGGGATTCCTAAGACGGCCTCCTTTGGAGCATTGGTGAGTGCTCTTTTTCCTTTCTTTAGTTCATATCCTAAGTAGGAGAACCTGGAAAGACAAAGCTGGGCCCTTTTAGCTGAAACCTGACATCCAAGCTCCTGAAGGGATAAAGCAGGTCCTTAGTATGTAGCAGACAGCTTTCAGCAGTCTCAGTAGCCAATTATAAATCATTCACATACTGGAGTAGGGTGCAGTTGGGATGGCTGGCTTGGAATGCCACAAGGTCCTGCTGAAAGGCTTCCCCAAAAAGAGTTGGAGAATTTTTCAAACATTGGGGCAACCAAGTCCAAGTTAATTGGGTTGTGTCTCCCAAGCCAGGGTCTGTCTATTCAAAAGCAAAAATGGGGTGGCTCTTAGGGGCCAAAGGAATGGCAGAGAAAGCATCTTTTAAGTCCAGGACAGTGTACACGGTATGTTCTGGTGGGAGCAAGCTGAGCAGTATATAGGGGTTAGGGAAAGCTGACTGGACTGTGACTGTCTGTTTGTTAACTTCCCACAAGTCCTGTACAGATCGGTAATCATTTGTCCCAGGTTTTTGAAATCACACAGATAGAGTGTTCCAAGCAGACTGACAAGGAGTAATTATATTTGCTTGCAATAGCCATTGAATATGGGGGCTGATTCCTTCTCTAGCCCGGTGGTTTATAGGATATTGTCTGACCCAAACAGGCAGGGCATCAGCCTGAAGTTCTACAATCACCGGTGGATGGTGTTTGCCAGTACTGGGGGGTTTGATTCTGCCCGAACCCGGGGGAAAAGAGCTTGTAGATCCAGTAGGAGAGGGCTAATTTGGTTTTCTTTTGGGAGTGATGATGAGACTAAAAGAGACTCTTCTGACAAAGGAGTGGTCAGCAGGAGCTGAGCAGGAGGGGGCTCTGTGTCTCCTAACTTGAGTTTGCTGAGCCGACAAGGAGAGGAGGTCTGCAGCTTGTGGAGCAGGTCTCGCCAAAGAAGAGGGAGGGGGCACTCTGGAACTACTAGAAATGAATGGGTTACTCTCTTTTGGCCTAAATGAACTTCACGTGAGTGGGTGACAGGATATTCTTGAATAGCTCCAGTAGTCCCCTGTACAGTCATTTTCTTGTTAGAAACACTCCCCAAGGGTGTCTGTAGTACAGAATGTTCAGCTCCAGTATTGATTAAAAAGCGTACAGGCTGGCCCCCCACAGTTGCAGTAACCATGGGCTCCCGGGGGCTGAGTGAAAAGGAGCCCCGGTCCCATCAATCATCAGATTCCTCTCCTGTGGGGAGGGTGAGGACTCTTTTTTTGTTCTCTTTTCTTTTCTGGCTTTAAAGGACATTTGTCCTTCCAGTGCCTTGTCTGTTTACAGAAGGCACACTGGTCCCTTTGTAGGGCAGCCTGTTCACCTTTCTGGATTTTCTGGCGGGGTCCGGAGTCCTCTGGCTGGTGCTTTGTGATGGGAGTTCCTCCTTTTTTGCTTCCCGGAGGGCGGCCACTATAACTTTTGCTTGCCTTTTCCCTGCCCTGTCGGTTGTCCTGTCAGCGGCTTGAGCTGCCTGCTTTTCCTTTTCAGTTTCTCGGTTACCAAAAGCCTTTTGGGCTACTTCTAAAAGCTGAGTGATGTTCATTCCAGCAAAACCCTGTAACTTTTGTAACTTTTTCTGAATGTCTGGCCACAAATGCCAAATATACAGCACGGCTATTTTTAGGAGCCGCTGGATCAAACGGGGTGTAAATTTGACAGTCCTCCTGGAGATGATCTAAGAACGCTCCAGGTGACTCATCAGCCCTCTGAACCACTTCTGTGGTCTTAGACAAGTTCGTGGGTTTTCTGGTGGCTCCTTTAATACCGACAAGGAGATACTGGTGGAAATTTTCCAAAGCCCTCCTCCCCCCCTCCCCCAGGTGTTAGGGTCCCACTCAGGTCGGGTAGAAGGAAAAACCTCAAGGAGGTTTAGGACTTCCTCCCTAGGCTTCCCTTCTGAACTAAGGAAATGGTTTCTGACTTCCCTTTTAATCCTTTCCCTCTCTTCAGAGGTGAAAAGGGTAAGAAGGAGCTGTTGACAGTCGTCCCAGGTGGGCCTATAAGTCTGAAGTACAGATTCCATTAGCACAGTTAGGACCGGGGGCTTTTCAGAAAAGGGGATTTTGAGCTCTCCAATTGTACAGGTCAGAGGTGGAAAACAGAACATAAACTAAAAACGGAGCAGCAGAACGCTCACTGCCTGGCAAGGGTGGCGTCTGCCTCAAGGGGAAGAGTGGAGTAGCTTCCCCTAACGGGGGCACAACCTTGGGGTAGTGGGCAGAGAAACCGCCTGAGACACCAGCTCGGGGTGGGGTGGGGGAGGGTAGGCGCCGGAGGTGTCGTTGGAGAGATTGTGCTGCGTCCTTGATTATAAGGTGGTGGTAACGGGTGTAAAGGGCTTCCCTCTGCCTCAGGGGGGGCAATACAGGGGGGCCGAAGAGGCCACTAGAGCAACCAGTTGGGGCCAGGAGGGGACTTTTTCAGAAGAACCTTAGAGATGGGGTCATGAACAGCCTAAGGTCGGAGCCACGGGGAGGGTTCCGAACCAAATTAAGCCATTGATCAATATAGGGAAACCGATCAGGGTGCACGAGCTTTCCGGTAACAACCTGCCACACAGCTTTAACTGTTGAGGGGTTTAACGAGCCGGAGGCCACCTGGTTTTAAGTTTCGGCCACTCCAGAGTCCGGAGTTTGCCTTTCTTAAGGTGGACTCCGTAGTTCTCTGAGAAGCCTAGAGAAAAGTTCTTTAGCGTAGACTGCAGGGGGCTCAGTGACTGGGGCCGGGAGGAAGAATTTCCCATTGTGAGCACAAATACTTAACAGGATTCTAAACCAAAATGTCAGACCCAGCACGGGCAAAAGTATTCACGACCTGGAGGCGTGGAGAATCGGAAAAACAGGAAGATTATAACCAGGAGAAACAAGAAAAGGGCTCCAGCCGCTATTTCTTGCCACAACACTTAGTATTTTCAGACTCTGAATTACTGGGAGAAGGCTAATAGTCTAGGGGGGCTCTGCACGGCTGCCTGGGACTGGGCCTGTACCTCGCCCCTCCCGGCTGTTTTTCTCCAGCGCGGCTGTAGTCTTAGCTCCAGGTGCTAGGCAGTTCCCAGCCCGCAAGGAGCCAAAGGCTCTGGGGGTGGTGTCTGCTGGCCTCACCTGATAGACTCTGCCTTACTGACTTACGCGAGAAAAAACTGCACTTTTGAATTCCAGCGAGCGCCGCTGCTTTGGTGTTCTTCGGGAGACAGAACAGAATGCGGGGGAGGCAGAACACCCAGGCTGAAAAGTCCCCAGTTTACATGCTCTGGGTAGTCTGCCCCTATGCTTATATCCGAGACACCTCAGATGTCTCCACGTTTTAAAAGCAGAGTGTTCAAATTCGGCCGTTTCTCTTAAAGGTTTAAGGAAAGACAACAAAGCCAAGTCCTGGACTCGCTGAGACACACGAAATTGAGACAATCAGGGTAAAGGACGGGGATGTGGAGGAAAAGGGCCACCCGAAGTCTCCTGAAGATCAGAGACCAACCACAGTGGGGAATAATATGACTGCAGAAGAATTAGACTGTTAGAGGTATAGGTTTCTCTGTACTGAGTTCTGTCTAAGGGTACTGGAAAGCGATGGAGTGACAGAACAGGTGGGCAAGATCTGCAGGATGGCTATTGTGAATCCACCACTGTTCTGAGAAAAAGAGAGCGATGCACCCAGTCGTTGGGGCGTGGGAGGTGACAGCCCAGGCGCCAGCAATCCGTGTGGTGCCGCAAATCACGGTCTGGTGAACGCGTGTCACAATTTTCTCCATAACAACACCTGATTTGTGTTTGACAGAAAAGGCAGGACTGCGTTGGCCAGCCCAACCGGCAAATGAGGGATTTTACCTCCTCAGACAAGAAGTTTTTTCTTTTTTTTCTTTTTTTTTTTTAAAGACGGGGTTTCACCGTGTTAGTCAGGCTGGTTTTTCCTAGCCGACTTGGGCAGTAACGGCAGCCAGACATACAGTCTTACGCAGACAGTAGACACGGGGACATACAAGCAATTATGACGGTTTGGACAAACAGAAAAATCTTGTGTTGGGGCCACTTAGATGCTCCTCTGGCCGCTCCCCTGACGGGGACATCGGGCCTCTCTTAGCATAGGCAGTCCGGTACAAAGCCCCGGCGGGACTGAGCTGAGCTCGCTGCCATAAGCCTTATGAGATGACCACGGAACCGCAGAAAAATAGTCCAGTCGAGCCCCATGGCTTTCGCTGTGGGGCTACAAATTGGAATTTCAAGGGAAGGCCCTTGAACTCCCTATTCACTCACACATGCACTCACCATTTACACAGAGTTTATTGCACATTTTATTTCTATTTTTAGGACAGAGTCCTCTAATTTAAATAAGAAGGAAAAGGAGAGACAGAGAGAGAGACACTCCCTAATAGAAACCAATACTCTGCTCACCAATGTACTGAAGTGTCAGCACAGCTAACAGAACCCAGAAACCAGGACCAGGACTCTCCCCCGAGAGTCCTGACCCGGAACCAGGACTCTCCCCCCGGAGTCCTGACACCGGAACCAGGACTTTCCCCCCTGGAGTCCGGAACCCAGAACCAGGAGTCTGCCCCCCGGAGTCCGGAACCCGGAACCAGGACTCTCCCCCCCCCGAAGTCCGGACCCCGGAACCAGGACTCTCCCCCCGGAGTCCGGACCCCGGAACCAGGACTCTCCCCCCACGGAGTCCAGACCCCGGAACCAGGACTCTTCCCCCCCGGAGTCCGGAACCCGGAACCAGGACTCTCCCCCCGGTCCAGAACCCGGAACCAGGACCAGTGACTCTGGGGCACTCAGAGTCCAGGGTCGCGGGAATCACCGTAGTCAATTCCGGCATCCCGGTAATTGGATGATTTCTGTACTTCCAAGAATAACCAGATTAGGCCTGACTTACCTTCCAGGAGCAGAGACAGAGGACTCAGGAGCCAGATTTGGTGGGCACAGCGGCGGTCGATCCCTTCCCTTCCGGACTCCGTGGGCCACGGGGCCCTGGAACGTCTCAGCGGGCGCCCCCTATAGGCCGCAGCTCATCTGGGGAAGACCAAACGAGACTGGTCGCGCCCGTTGGCGACCGTAAATCTCGCTGGGCCTCCAAATGTTGTTCCCAAGCGAGTCAAGGAATGCACCACACTTTGAGAATTAATTATGCGTCCTTTATTAAGCTGGCGACTGAGAGTGGCTAACGCCCAAAATTCCCTCGGCCCTGAAGAAAAACTTAGGTGGTCTTTTATACACTAGTTTTAACAGGAAGGGGGGGAACCTAGCTAAAACAAAGTTTTCACAAAGGCAGAGTAGCAAAAAATTAAAAAGAAAAAACTGATACATAAGAAATAAAACAGTGCCAGGTGTGAGGAGTGCAGCTGTCATGGAAGACATACAACTTACAAAAAAGGCAGGCTGGGGCGCTCACCGCAGCTGTATTTCCAGGCTCTGCTGATACCACTTAGCCTCTTATCAACAAAGGCATTCCTGGGGCAGGTGTGGTGGCTCATGCCTGTAATCCCAGCACTTTGGGTGGCTGAGGCAGGCAGGTCACCTGAGGTCAGGAGTTTGAGACCAACCAGACCAAGATGGTGAAACCCGTCTCTACTAAAAATACAAAAATTAGCCGGGTGTGGTGACAGGTGCCTGTAGTCCCAGCTACTCTGGAGGCGGAGGCCTGAGAATTGCTTGAACCCAGGAGGCGGAGGTTGCGGTGAGCCAAGGTCGCGCCACTGCCCTCCAGCCTGGGCAACAGAGCAAGACTCCGTCTCAGAAAAAATATATATGTATATAAATAAATAAATGGCTCGTCATGGAACGTTTTTTAAAAAACAGGCATTCCTGGGTGCCCAGAGTCAGTCTGACCTTGCTTTATACTATAGTTACATACTTAGTGGGGAGAAGGTTACCAAAATGAGGAAGACAAGATGGCGTCTGTCCGGCTCAAGAAGCTAACATAAAGCCTGAACGACTTTTAGCCAGGAAAAGGAGAGTTAGTTGTTAGTTTTAGCTGGCAAAAAGCAGGGTATCACATTACTATCCTTTTTTCATAGACCTGAGTAATTCTTCCTGCCTCTTTGCCAACTGTCTCATCAATCCTCAGTGCCCTCTTTGGTCCTTCCCTATTCCTGGGCACTCCTGTTCAGAATTCTTGCTCTACTTGGTTCATAATTGCTGATGTTACTTTATGCTTTGGCCTGGGGCTCCCCCAACTCCTTTTTTTTTTTTTTTTTTTTTGAGACAGTCTTGCTCTGTCACCCAGGCTGGAGTGCAGTGGCATGATCTCAGCTTACCATACGCAGCTACTTTTTGTATTTTTAGAAAAGAGAGGGTTTCATCTTTTTGGCCAGGCTGGTCTCGAACTCCTGACCACAAGTGATCCATCCACCTCCGCCTCCACCTCCCAAAGTGCTGGGATTACAGGTGTGAGCCACCACACCTGGCCTTTGGCTCCCTTTTATACCACACATGGTCCCTGTGGGGCCAAATCTGTTTTCAGAGCTCTAGCCCCTAAGCAGACCCCGCTGGCTCCTGCATTTCTGTCTCAAGCACTTCCTACTCCCTGAACTCAATGCCCACCAGAGGTCCCAGAGGCTTCTCACAATCAGTGTGTCCAAAACTAAACTCCCATCAACCCTGTCTCCCTGTCTTTATCTGAGTGAATGACACTACCCAGTAGGCATTTCAACTTCTCTAGCTCTTTCTTATCCCCCACAACTGACTAATATCCAGTCCTGCTATTTGCATTTTCTTTCGACGAGTCCGGCTTCGTGGCTAGAGCACAGACTCTGGAGCAAAACAGCCTCAAAGCTCAAAGCTCAGCTGAGACAGAAACCACTTTATGACCCTGGGGGAGCTATTTAACTTCTCTGGAGCTCAGGTGCCTCATCATGGTAGGTTCTATATAAGTATAAGCTTTTATTAAGAGTAGTAATCAATCCTTTCCCCGCTCCTCCAATCCTAAGGCCCCATCAGTTTCTTGACTGGAGTGTCACAGTAGCTTTCTTCCTGGTCTCCTTGTCTTCTACTCTCTGATTCTCCAATGAGGATTGGCTATATTGTGTAATAATAGCCGTCATCATTCCACAGAATACAATGTAAATGGCACCCCTACTTCCCATCCTCCCTGGCACCCATCCCACTGCCATTTCCAATGTATACATTTTCTCATGCCAATTCTTAAAAAGATTTTCTCTTCACCTTCAAACTAAAACTCCACTCCACAACAGGCACCAGCTGATAGCATCTCCTGGAGAGGTAGATTTGGCAGTCGTCAGCAGAGGGATCATAGCCAAACCTTTCATAATGGTTTGATGACATTCATTAAGGGTTAGTATGTGTAGGTGCTGTGCCAGGTCTTCCCCAAATACCTTAAGAAGCAGGTGGCATCCCTACCCATAGCTGAAGAAACAAAGACATTGAGTGAGAAATGGACTTAAAGGTCAGAGAGATGAAGAGCTGGGCTCAGAACTCCTAATCTGAAGCTTAGCACCTTGGCTGCTTCTTTGTGTCAAAGTGACTTGGATCCTCCAGGCAAAGGTGGGGATGTTCAATCTTACTGATACAATTTCAAGCAGCACAGCTCCTGATAGACTGTGAATTTAAAAATAAACAAATGAATAAATAAATAAAGACTGATGGATGGATAGGGATGAACAGAAGGGTGGATTATAATAAAGTAAGAAAGTAAAATATTAATTGTACAATCTACATGGTAGGTATATTGGAATTTACTGAAAATTCTTTTACCTTTGCTATACAGTTTAGAAGTTTTAAACTGTTGGGGAGGGGGAAGGGAGAAGGAAAACATTGTATTTTTCTGTTGATAACATAGACCAGAAGTACTACTGGCTTAAACAGAACAAGGGTTTATTTTCCTTTCACAGAAAATAAACTTATTTAGAAATTTACCTTGATTATTAATATATGATAAAATTTTTAAAAAGAAAAAATTGTTTTGAAATAAATTTGGCTGGTGACAGTCCAAGGCTGATCTGGCACCTCAGAGATGTCATCCATGCCCCAGCCTGCTTCTGTCTTCATTCTCTGCTGTCCCAGTGTGAGGCTTCCAACCTCAAGGTTGCCTCATGGTCCCAGGGTGGGTACTGCACCTCCAGGTCCAAAGTCCATGTTCTAGGCAAAAAGAAGAAGAAATTAGGGAGAATGCACCCTCACGCTCCCAGCTATTTTGGCCTTCCCTTTGAAGGATTTCTGGGAGAAGCACAGGCCCTTCCTCAGTGGTTTCTGCCCAGCAACTGATGAGAAATACTGCCTCTTAGCCAGTCAAAACAGTAATTCTTCCAAACAGAGCCTCTGTTAGTGTTTCTCATGGTGAGAAGACAATATTCGCTTTCTCTTTTTTGTTTCTTCCAGATGGGAGACCAAGCCAAATTAGAAAGAATGGAGAATTATTGATTGTCCATCTTTATTCTCTGATTCTCCGATGAGAATACCAAGGAGTAAGTACAGGAAATTGATGAGAGCCTGGGCTACAACGTCTGGGAGGAGTGGGGCTGAATCTCCGCGTGGTGAGTGGGCAGGCAGGAGAGCACTCGCCCAGAGAAAGGGGTGCGGAGCCTCTGTGTGTGTGTGTGTGTGTGTGTGTGTACATGTGCACAGCAGCAAATGCACATATGGGCATGTGGGAAGACAGAAGTATTGCAAAGAATAAGGACCTGCAGAGATTGGGATTTAGTGGAAGGAGAGGAAGACAGCATGAATGAAGAAATATTCCAACTGCATGTTTTTAATGTATTGTGGTCAGAAAAGGGCAAAAAGAAAAAAAAAGACTTAAAATCTGTTCTGCTTTTTTTTTTTTTTTTTTTTTTTGAGGTGGAGTTTCACTCTTGTTGCCCAGGCTGGAGTGAAGTGATGCAATCTTAGCTCACTAAAACCTCTGCCTCCCAGGTTCAAGTAATTCTCCTGCCTCAGCCTCCGGAGTAGCTGGGATGACAGGCCTGTGCCATCACGCCTGGCTAATTTTGTATTTTTAGTAGAGACAGGGGTTTCTCCATGTTGGTCAGGCTGATCTCGAACTCCCGAACTCAGGTGATCCACCCGCTTCAGCCTCCCAAAGTGCTGGGATTACGTGAGCCATCCCGACCAGCTCAAGGCATCTATTCTAAGAGATTCTGAAGAAGAAGAAAAAAAAGATGTGCCTTATAGATTTATATGTAAATGTGTTTATTACAGAAGTATTTATAATTTAGTAAAATCTGAACGAACATACATACACAACAGGTGGGGAATAGACAAACAATGCATGATTCAGTCATAAAACGTGTTCCATGTAGCCATTAGGAATCATAATTTTAATTAAGTGAGATTATTTATAATTTTAATAATACTAGGTCCTTACATTAAACACTTTTGGGTATCTTTTAGGGATAGTGTCTAGTTATCTTTCCATTAATCCTTTCCGCAAAACCTAAAGCATGCTTTCCCATGGATACAAACTACTACATTGTATGAATATGTAATTAGTGGGAGTCTCTCTGAGCCTACTCTGGCTCAGAAAGCCATCCCTAAAGAAGAAAAAGAACAAACAAACAAACAAAAAACAATTATTTTCTAAACTCTTTATTTTGGATATTTCTGTTTCTATATTTTGTTACTGCAGATTTTACTAGATTGAATAGCCTTAACCATAAATACTTGCATCAATCTCTAAATTTTTTTCTTCAACACTAACTTTTGCAATTAGAATTTTGGGGGCAAACGATATATTTTAAAGGCCCTTGCCATGTGTATGTGGCCAAAATGCTTCCAGAAACATTTCCACTTCTACTAGCAAAGTATATGATTATACCTACAGAGTATTTAAGTTTTATTCCTTTACATATTTTTTCATTGCCAAAATTGTCTATAGTAGAAAAAATGAATAATAAATAACCTAAAAAATAAATGAAAAGTTCTCCCTCTGAGGACAACAGAGAAATTTTTAGCTTAGAGGCTAATAATAATAATACCCTTCTTCTCTAGGAGCATAAAGAGCAGCTTTGAGGAGCAGAAGACGTGAAATGCAATGTTTAGTCTGGGTGGGTGCAAGATCCAGGCAGGGGTGGGGACGGCCACTGCACAGAACCCTGTTCCCTTGCTTCCTGTTCCTCCCGCCCCTCCTCCCTCTGCAGCCCTTGTTCTCAGAGGCCATCCCCAGACCCACAGCAGCAGGTGTTACAGCTGCAGGCCTCAAGCTCCTTTGTTTTGGGAGAAACTGTTAAGGAGTTAGTATTTACTGAGCAGCTAATATGCCCGTCACTACTATAACTCATAATAATTATTAATCATTAACTAATACATAAAAGTTTAATTTAAAGCTTTCCAATAATTTTATTTTATTTTATTTTATTTTATTTTTTTGAGACGGAGTTTCACTCATGTTACCCAGGCTGGAGTGCAATGGCGCGATCTCAGCTCACTGCAACCTCCGCCTCCTGGGTTCAGGCAATTCTCATGCCTCAGCCTCCTGAGTAGCTGGGATTACAGGCACGCACCACCATGCCCAGCTAATTTTTTGTATTTTTAGTAGAGACGGGGTTTCACCATGTTGACCAGGATGGTCTCGATCTCTTGACCTCGTGATCCACCCGCCTCGGCCTCCCAAAGTGCTGGGATTACAGGCTTGAGCAGCCGCGCCCAGCCTCCAATAATTTTAAAAGTAAAGGGAGCTAAAGGCCAAAGTGTCCTTTCACTCACTAACCTCTGATCTTCAATTCAGCACGCATACTTTTAAACATTTTCAGGCATTTACATATATAGTTATGCAGAAATGTACAGCTTTGCTTTTGTTTTTCAATTGAATCATTAGTATAGTTCGGCAAGGTGTCTCCGTTATCCAGGCTCATAACAATAAATCAACTCTTGTTACCTGCTGCCCTGAATTCCCTCTAAGGGATGAGTCATCACTCCTCTAAGCAGTTTCTGCTGGGTGGCTGGCTCAGCTGGTTACCACTTTTATATTAAAAATAGTGCTGCAGTGTCATTCGCACAGAGGCTTCTCGCTGCACCCATGCAAGTACTTTGCTGGCATGGACATCAGGAAGTGGAATTGCTGGACCAATTGTGCACATTCTAAGTTTCATAATTGATATTTTTGAGTAACTAAAATTTAAATGGTTTTGTCCCATGACAGAGATCATCAAGCTTGTGACTTGAAGAGCTTTACCTATTGTCTACCTTTTTTGTGTCCCTACCATGGTGGGTCCAGCCCATTGTGAGTGCTCAGTAAATATTTGTTGAATAACTTTCTGAACGGAAGAAAGAAAAGATGAGTAAGGCCTGGTCTTATTCAAAGCTCTCCTAATCAATATCTTTGTGATTAAATGTCGTGGGTTCAGCTTCTGACTGACTTCAGAGACTCCCCTAGGCAGTCTGCCTGGATCCCACCAGGAGCCTCCAGGCCATGAGTTGACCATTGTAATGTCCAAGAGTTGGACCCTTGTGGAGTCCATAGTGTTGGACACCCAAAGAGGTGAAGACGGGGGAACCAGGGAATACAGTGAAAAGGGTCCTTCATGAATCAGAGGATGATGGGGGCTTGGACCTGGCAGGGGAAGTGATAGGATTCTGAATATTTAAATATTTTAATGCAGTAGAATCAGAAATTTCCTGATCAGATAACAGATGTTGTTTTTACACATGATTTTCTATGTTGGAACTCAAAGGTAAAGACACTCAAGGACAGAAATCTTTTGCAGAGGTAAGATTTTCTTCAGTCACCATATTTGATTAGCTGTGGGGAAGTGGAGGTTTCCATGAAGAATTCCATAGCTTCTTCCAGATCATAGTGTCTGACCCACACCGGCTGGTGTCTCCTGATACGCAGCACGGATGGAAATGGCAAGTTCCCTGGCCTTTCTTCTGCTCAGCTTTCATGTCTGCCTCCTCTTGGTCCAGCTGCTCACTCCTTGCTCAGGTAGGAAACGATTTCACATTTATGTTTCTGAAGTAGACAGTTACCTATTAGTGTTCTCATAGGACTTTTGAGTCCTTCCCATACCTGAAGTCCATGCCAACCTGAGGGTTCATATGTCACTAAGAGACAAATGGTGCTTCTCTTAGGATCATGTTCCCCTCTAGGGTCTCTGTATCTCACCTTCCCTGTCGGAGAAGCACCCGTCCTCTCATGACCCCAACCCCAGCACCCTCTGACGGAGCCTCCCCCTTGTGCCGACAGCTCAGTTTGCTGTGCTTGGACCCCCTGGGCCCATCCTGGCCATGGTGGGTGAAGACGCTGATCTGCCCTGTCACCTGGTCCCGACCAGGAGTGCAGAGACCATGGAGCTGAGGTGGGTGAGTTCCAGCCTCAGGCAGGTGGTGAGTGTGTATGCAGATGGAAAGGAAGTGGAAGACAGGCAGAGCACAGAGCATCGAGGGAGAACTTCGATTCTCCGGGATGGCATCGCTGCAGGGAAGGCTGCTCTCCGAATACACAACGTCACAGCCTCTGACAGTGGAAAGTACTTGTTATTTCCAAGACAGTGACTTCTGTGAAAAAGCCCTGGTGGAGCTGAAGGTTGCAGGTGAGCCTCTGGGTTTTCTTCTGAGAACATTTCTCCATAGGATCTAGAAGAAATTCCGAGTTGCTCTTCCAGAAGCACTGCAGACACCCCTGGCTGCTCACTAGCAATTGCCTGTGCTGCCTTCCAACTTAGCCTCTCTGAGCCCCTTGAGTAGGACACAGGTTCTCCTTTAGGAAGAATTCCTGCTGTGCCCTACATGCTCAAGTAAAGAACTCCCTTCCTCTGGCCACCAGAGACATAAGGGACATGAAGGAGGAGGGATAGGAAGCATAAGAAATCGTTGTGTCAGTGACTGGTACACAGTCATTTTGGTCTAATTGAGTAACAGACAGCTCCTGTTGTGTCACCAAGTGCACAGTACCATGGGCCTGGGAGGTACCATAGGGACTGCATCTGCTGCCAGTGTTTTCCAGTCAGTCACCCACAAGAATATTCCTAGAGTAAAACAAACCGTTTCTTTTTCCTTTTATTTATTTATTTTTTCTTTTGAGATGGAGTCTTGCTCTGTCACCCAGGCTGGAGTACAATGGTGTGATCTCAGCTCGCTGCAGCCTCTGCCTCTGAGGTTCAAGCAATTCTCCTGCCTCAGCCTCCCGAGTAGCTGGGATTGCAGGCGTGTGCCACCACGCCTGGCTAATTTTTGAATTTTTAGTAGAGATGGGGTTTCACCATGTTGGTCAGGCTGGTCTCAAACTCCTGACCTTATGGTTCGCACACCTAGGCTTCCCAAAGTGCTGGGATTACAGGCGTGAGCCACTGTGCCTGGTCGATATATTTCTCACTCGTTGCATTGAGGAAGAACACACATCACAGGGAGCTGTGGCGGGGCTCAGTAAGAAGGTGTTAGAGCAGACTTAGTATACAATTGGGCTCGTGTTAGGGGACCTGGGGGAGGATTTATAGACTTAGTCCTCCGCTCTGGATGAGATGCCATCAGGAAGGCATGGCAGGTTAATTCTGTGAGTGGGAGCCTTAATCAATCTTATCTAGGAGGAAGGAGACTAGGGTGAGACTAAAGCTGCAATTGATGAAGGGGCAGCAGTTCCTCACTGCCGCTGGGGATGTTTGGTCGTTGCTGTGGTTTGGACAATGTTCATGTTTTTCTCTGCACCCACGCATGATGTGGGTGGTCTCTTGTTTTTCCCACGATCCATCATAGTCACAAAGTGCCATGGTCTGATGCTAGCATTCTGTGAAATTGCTTTTGTTCAATAGGAGGACAGGGAGACCCAGTGTCCGTTTCCAGATGTTATCATGGCCTTTCTATTTCTCAGTGCAATCCCTTGCCCTTGGTTTCTGGTTGGGTTTGGTTTAAGGGGATCTATAGCAGACAATCATAAGAGGAACAGAAGAGGAGGAAGGAAATCTGGGTGTTTATTCCCTGGCTTCCTTCCTGCAAGGTACCCTCAGGTTGGCTCCATTGCCTTGCTGAAGGTCACAGCTCCTCTCAAGAATGTCCTCAATGAATGAATCTCTTCTTTTACGTAATCCAAACAACTCCCCCTCTTCCTCCCTCTGGTAATTGGGGTCAGTGGGAATAGCCCCACTGTTACTGACCCTGGGATATAGCACTATCCCATTTAGTTTTCCCCTCAACATGACCAAACTTTTGTAAATAGCTCCTGAATGAAATCTTCCTTGAGTTACCAGATCTGAGTCTGCCATTGATTCCCATCAAGACCCTCCCTGATACAGGAGCTCTCCAGAATTTAGGCTGATTTATCCTTCCACAGCACTGGGTTCTGATCTTCACATTGACATGAAGAGTTATGACGCTGGAGGGATCCGTCTGGAGTGCAGGTCCACTAGCTGGTACCCCCAGCCCCAAATACAGTGGAGCGATGCCAAGGGACAGAACATCCCGGCTGTGGAAGCACCTGTGGTTGCGGACGGAGCGGGTCTGTATGCAGTAGCAGGATCTGTGACCATGAGAGGCAGCTCTGGGGAGCGGGTGTCCTGCATCATCAGAAATTCCCTCCTCGGCCTGGAAAAGATAGCCAGCATTTCCATCGCGGGTTAGTGCCTGCTTGGCCTCAGCTTTACTGAGCTGAGCTGTGGCAGTTGAATGAAGGGGGATGTGTGAGTTTCTACTGTGTGAGTCTCTGGAGTTGACCTGGGTCTCTGCACTGCATATGAGGCCCAAAGCAGGGACCTGGAGGCTCCTGTCTGCTCCAGGGGAGCTTCCTTCCTCCACAAAGCTGTTCATGACACAAACATTTACTGAACATTTCCTGTCTGCGAGAAAGTACAACAGGCAATGGGAATTGGGGAAAAAATATTAAGATAAGCTCCTTATGTAAAGTCAAACGACAAAATGGGAAAACATACACATACATATATATATATTTACAAACTTAGAAAGAGCTAATCTCCTTCTGTTAGAATGAGATTCTAAAAACCTAGTTAAAAGTTTTGGCCAGATATGTTGGCGCATGCCTGTAATCCCAGCACTTTGGGAGGCCGAGGCAGGCAGATCAATTGAGGCCAGGAGTTTGAGACCCATCTGACCAATGGTAAAATTCAAAAAATTAGCTAGATGTGGTGGTGTGCACCTCTAATCTCAGCTACTCTGGGGGCTGAGGCACAAGAATCACTTGAGCCCGGGAGGGGAAGTTGCAGTGAGGGGAGAGCAGACCACTGCACTCTAGCCTGGGTGACAGAGCAAGACTCTGTCCGAAAAAAAAAAAAAAAAGAATAAGTAAAATAAAACAAAATCCTAGTAAAAAAAATTTTAATAAAATTCTTGAATTATTAATTAGCAGGAAAGGAAATAACCCACAAAAGGGTGCTCATTCTCACACATTAGGGAAACATGTGAAATCATTTTTCACTTATAATATTAGCAAAAGTCAAAACAAAACTGCATTGGCCAATAACATGATTATCATAGGAATGTAGGAAGGCAGTAACTCTCAGTCATTTGCTCACGTAACTTGCTGTATTTTTGGTGTGCATTAGTACGACCTCTATTGGGGGCTCTATAGCAATATCTATCCAATCTACATATTTATTGATTGAAAATTCCACTTCTAGGAATTTATCTGATAGATAAGCTTACATTTGTATGAGATAATCCACGTAAAGCGTTTCTGTTTTTCAGTGTGTGTGTGTGTGTGTGTGTGTGTGTTTTTTAAGACAGAGTCTCAGTCTATTGCCCAGGCTGGAGTGCAATGGTGCAACCTCGGCTTACTGCAGCCTCTCTTCCTGGGTTCAAGAGATCCTCCTGCCTTAGCTCCCAAACAGCTGGGATTACAAATATCTATAGGAGTACAAGGTCCAATCTTCTCAATCTGTATCATTTCCTACCTCGCTCTAAAGAGTTTAGGAAATTTAATGAGCAATTTCAGGGACTAGTTTTTGCAAGCAGTTATGATAAATCGGTACCAACTGAACCACTGCAGCTACTCCTATTTATTAGACACACTTTTCTCCCTCTCTCTCTTCTGACTTATTTCTCAAATCTTTCATTTGTGTTTTCTTTTCAACAGCCTCTAGATTATGTAAAACAACAAGAAATTCCTGCCATAGAAAATGCAGGCATTTTTTTTGACTTATTTCTCCGTCTTTTCTTTTTTTGTGTCAGGAACTCGCTCTGTCACCCAGGCTGGAGTGCAGTGGCGTGATCTCAGCTCACTGCAAACTCTGTCCCTTAGGCTCAAGGAATCCACCCATCTCAGCTTTCTGAGTAGCTGGGAACACAGACCCACACCACCATGCGTAGAATTTTTTTTTTTCATTGCAGAAACAGGGTCTTTCCATGTTGCCCAGGCTGGTCTCGAACTCCTGAGCTCAAGCAGTCTGCCCACCTCGGTCTCCCAAAGGGCTGGGATTATAGTCATGAGCCAATGTGCTTAGTCTGCATTTTACTTTTAATGACTCCTGTGATTAAATTGAGTACACTCAGACAATTTAATCTCTCTATTTTAGGTCTCCAATTTTAATTCTGTATAAAGTTCATTTAGCCAGTTTTACATTCTATTCACCAGTTTCATAGAGGATTTAACTCAAAGGGTGGGTGGGAGAGCACTATTCAGCCTATTACACTTATTTGGGAAGTGATCCCAGGAAACACAATTGCAGAAATAAACTGAGAAATGAAAGAAAACCAATTACATGAGAAATGGCATAAAGGATTCACTCATGCAGTAGTTACCATGTGGATAACTTGGCTCAATCACTTTTAAGACTCTCTAAGAAACCATATGAAATGTGTGTACAGCTCAGGATCTTCCTAAGGATTACAGGGCGTGGGACTTTATACTTCCCATCCTCCTGTGCTTGAATTGGTTGAAGATTGGCCTGGAAGTGTTAATTCTAATGCACTTTAAGATTGGGCTATGTAACTGCAGAAAAGCAACTATCACTGATGTAATAAAGCTCTCAGGCAAAGGAGAAGGGAGATACTCACTTGAGGTGGGAGGGTTGTCATCCTTGCGGGGAACTGTGCCTCAGCTATTGGCAAACTGTGGTAGGCCAAGAGAATGTGGGATGGGGCATCGACAGCATCTGTTCTAAGGGCTCTGCCTCTGAGAATACGGTGAATGCCTTTCAAGGTGTCTCTGCCCCCCCTGCACCATATTCACTTAGCATTAGTGACCTCTTATCTTCCAATACACGTCCATATCACATGGCCCTGCAGCCTCACCACATGGACTAGGTCTGGGATGGACACCTGACCCAGGCTAGGCCCAGGGACCAAGTGACATGTGAACAGTTACACCTGTAGCAGATATGCAGGGGAGCTATGGAAAGAAGTCTTCCATTCATGGTGCAGAGTAAAGGATGGTGGATCTTCCTTCCTAGTCCCTGAACTTCTGACCTAGAGTGGCTTAATCCTGCTGCTACCTCTCTCTGGGACTCTACTGCTGAATAATTCCAGGAACTGGGCCACGCTGTGGTGGGGGAGTGGCCTTACCCTGAGCATCTCACTCACACATTGAACAACAGCTGAGAGCAGAGCTTAGGCCTGGGCCCTATAAGGAGAGAGGAATCACATGCTGCAGAGGTCTGTCCTGAGGAGCAGGTACTCTAGCCACAGCAAAGACACAGTTGATGCCTGGATCATAATAATAGAAGGCAGGACATGAGAACAGCAAAAGATGTGGGTGTCAGAAGAGGCTGAGAACACTTCAGGCAGGAGCACTGAGTTGTGCTTAGAGGAAGTAGGCATGAAGGCTGGGCAGGATTTTAAGGGCAGAGATGGAGCAAACAATTCAAGTGAAAGGCATGGCATGGAAAGGGAGCGCTGGCCACAGGGAGTGCAACGTTGTGACGCAAGGCCACTGTGGAGCCGTTGCTAGTGTATTAATGCAAAGCTTGGAGTTGAATCGGAAGGGGATTGGAGGCCTCCAGACCAAGCATTTACTTATGTATGTTTTATTTATTATTTATTTATTTATTTTTTGAGGCAGAGTCTCGCTTTGTCACCCAAGCTGTAATGCAGTGGCATGATCTTGGCTCACTCTAACTTCCTCCTCCCAGGTTCCGGCGATTCTCCTGCCTCAGCCTCCTGAGTAGCTGGGATTACAGGCGCACCACCACCCCCAGCTAATTTTCGTGGTTTTTTTTTTTTTTTTTTTTTTTTTTTTTTTTTTTTTTTTTTTTTTTTTTTTTTTTTTGTTGCTTTTTTTGGTAGAGATGGGGTTTCACCATGTTGGCCAAGCTGGTCTTAAATTCCTGTTTTCAAGTGATCTGCCTGCCTCACCCTCCCAAAGTGCTGGGATTATAAGCATGAACCACCACATCAGTCCCAGACGAAGTATTTAGACATTTGATGGGAATATTGACAACTAGGCCTTGGGAAGATTATTCCGGAAGATATTTATACAATGATAAGATTGGATTTTGTGGGTGAGGGATTATGTTCATGTGGAGGAGGATATATGTTCTCGTGTGTGTGTGTGTGTGTGTGTGTTTGTGTGTCCCTTGGACCTAACCCTACCACCTACTGGCAGAAGGTAAAGGCCAACTAGAAAGTTTTGCTCACTTTCATCTTCTGCCCCCACCAGAATGCCACCTCCCTGAGGAAAAGGGTTTTTGATGCTTACCCAGTATCCTCAGCACCTCTTATGCAATAGCTTTGGAATGAATGACAAAGTCTTCATAACAGCCAGTGCAACTGCTGTCTCCTTTCCTTTGCTACCCCTCCCTCTCCAGCCATGCCTGCTTCCCCCAAGCCCTTCCAAGCTCGTGGCCCAACCTCCAAACCCAGCAACTTGGACAAGAGTCATCTGGCTTTGGAAAGAGGGCGGTTTATGTTTTCCTCCTCATGTTTCCTCCACAGCAAAATCACCCTTTACTTAGAGAGGCCTCTCTCCTTGTGGATACCAGCAAAGCCACCAACACTGCGGGGAATCTCAAGGCTTTATAAAAGAAAGAAGGAAGGAAGGGAGGGAGGGAGGGAGGGGAAGGAAAGAAAAAGAAAAAGAGAAAGGTAAGAAGAAGAAAAGGAAAAGAAATAGAAAAAGGAGAAAGTGACAGAAAGAGACAAAGAAAGAAATATAAAGAGAAAAAAAAATTTTAAAGTCTTACTTTCAAACAAAGAAAAAGGAAATAGAAATACCTTATAACCCCCGAAAGGTTATTTGCTGCTTGAGAGTTTTGTTTTTGTTTTTGTGTATTCTACCTAGTAACTGCTGAGAACTAAGGCTCGAGACACCATTGGCTGGTTCACCCGCACCCGACCAATCCTGGGCTCTAAACTGTTCAGTGGAAATCTTCGGACTCTTTGGACACGAAGGCCCAGGTCCCAGATCCCGGGTCCCGCGCAACTCCGGACATCGCGATTAATGGAAGGTGAAGAAAGCTTTTCTCTTTTTTTGGGGATGCTTTGTTCTCTGGTGGTGACTGCGCCAGTTGGTGAGTTGTATCCGGAAAATCGTCATGTGAAGACCAGAGGAGAAAAGAAGACGCCACGTTAATTCTACAAGGTGCGGAGGGGAGGGGAGGGGAGGGGAGGGGAGGCGCGGGGAGGCGCCACAGCTCCGGGGCGGGCGGTAGGGGGAGCGGCATCCGCTGTGGACGCGAGCGCGGGGCCTGGGAGAGGGAGGCCACGGCGGGGAGGCGCGGGCTCGCCGGGCTTTACCTCGCGTGGCCCGGCCTGGGTGCAG